TTCCCACACCCAACCCGCCTCCTTACCCACCTCCCAAAGGTGGGATGATGCCATATCTGCCAAGGGGCGCAGGTGGACAGATCAAAGGCAAGAGGAAATTATTTGGAGTTTTAGAGCTCTATGCTACGTAAGCATCTAGGAAATTTGTAGTCAAAAATAAACTCATTTTCCTTATGCTACGGTTTGTTTCAAAAGCCAAGAAAGAAAATCAAAGCTGTCCATAAGCCAAGGAATTGTATTTGGAATCGTACGAAGAAAACAATCATTCACAGAAAAATTCAAATGGATAATGAACAAATGAAAAGTATTCAGCATCGCTAATAAGAAACACAAAGTAGCACATTGTCTCATCGGCACAGATTTTTTTTAAAATGGTAACATCTTCATTCTGATGGCGCAGAATACACTGGCACAACCCTTTGGGAAACTAACTGGGAATACGAGTCAATAAAAATAAGATGTGGATTAAGTATGCAGACCCTGCCTACCACTACGCTCGGTTGTATCACTGTGTGCACTAGCTAGTGCAAAAGAAAAAACATCCGAATGTCTACTAAAGGAAATGATTTAATAAATGATGTTACATTCATACTATGGAATGTTGCTCATCTATAGAAAAATGTTTTCAAAGAATCGTTCGCAACATGGAAAAACGGTGCTGATAGAATGTAGTGTGAGAACAAGAGTGCTGGAAGCTGTTTGCACTCTGGCTCCAGGAATGCTTTAAAAACCAGCCTCAGTAAACTACTTGAAGGAAATATACCAATGTTTTAACTGTGATTATCCGTTATAGGTGGATCTTCTTTGTAATTTTGTGCACTTTCCAAGCTTTCCTCAGTAAGTGATTATTACTGTTATCCAACCCCTCGCTCGCTCCGCCCCCCAACACACACACACACACACACACACACAGAAGAAATACACAAATGCCAATTCCAGTACACGGCGGCTGTGGGCACAGCCAGCAGCATTGGGGATCTGCATTCCAGACGCCCCATCCGCCCTCACCTGCATCCTGCCCTTCTCATCTGGGGACCCTTGGAGGAGGCTACTGCCTTTCAAAGGAGACCATGGGAGTCCAGGGAACAATTCATTCTGGCAGCAGGATGTAGCAAGCCCCCGGGGGAGTGAGAATCGGGCAGACTGGAGAACAGACACTAGCTTTGGCTGCTTCGCCCTCTGAAGAGAAGTGAGTCGTGGGCTCCACCCTGGGGGTGTGGAACCCGCAAGATTCACAATGCTTAGATCCCCAGAACTTGCATCTTGTCCAGATCTCACTCAGCCTCAACACATCTGCGTTCTCATCAGCGTCTGGCACGAGCTTCGGTCTCCCTGAGCTGCAAAGACACCAGGGTGACTCCCCTGCAGCCAACCATGATGGTACAAAGGAGAAGACGGCCCCCAGCAGAGAGAAGTCATTCTAGATGAATACTTCCCAATCTCAAGTCTCCAAATGCAGAGTCTGCCCTTTTCTCCATATCTGAGATTTCTTCTGAACATGCAAAATATTTCCAGCCCCCAATTTAGCGAAAGTATGGGATTTGACATCTAAAAATAATTAGCCTTGCGGTGAGTACAGAACAGAAATGAAGTCGTTCCAAACTGTCCTGCTCCCAGATACAGAAGGGAACCCATTCATTCAGCTTTTTTTCACAAGACTAAATCACAGAGCACAGCGACAGGAGAAAACCAACTTCCCTTCTTTTTTCAGTTTCTAAACAGCCATCAAGCTCTAAAAGCTAGAATTATTTCCCTGCCACTCAGCTTTAAGGAAAAAAAGATAGATGAGGAACATGTTCCTATCAGGGATTTATTTATGTGAAAGAGCAACTTCTACGGTGTGTCAAAAGGTTTATTCAAGTCAATTTCCCTTTCCATCCTCTGGTCCTCTTCTGCCCGGTAAGAATCAGTATTTACAAAGACAACCCCAAGGTTTCGCGTAGATCACAAAGTACTTTCAAAGGCAGATGGAAATTTGTTCGGCATTTTCTTATATTCGGTAGTTTTGAAATTTGGCATTTGATACAGGATGTGTATGACAACTCCTGGTGAATCGCCACCACCCATTCCCCAACAAGATGTTTATGTTACAGCATTTTTGAGGCAAAGCTAAATGGAGCCAGCTAAGTCCCCAAACCCGTTACCTCTAATTAAGCCTGCCCCTTTTAAGTGTTTTGCGGGTAGTACCCGATGGTCCAACTCACTCCCACAACCCTTCTGTCCCCATTCACGACAACCCCTTTATGAAGCACCATGCCACGGCTACGGGGGAGCAAGAGCCCTCTGCAAAGAGCGGAAGGCTTGCAGGGAGGGAAACATCTTTCTGCTCTTTGTGGCCGATCAGCCCTTTGCAAAGAGGTTTGAGGAGCTGCCGGGTCACGGCGCCTGGAGAGAAGGTCTAGCAGAGGCTGTTCTGCAAATGCCAGTGCTGATCTGACAGCATTTCGAACCCAGCTCACACCACGAGGGGCTTTTGAAGCAGTCAGGGAGTGGCAGTAGTGCTGTGGCCACTGGCTGTGGGCAACTCTGGACTGGCCCTGTCCGGGTGACAACGGAGTGTTTTTATTCCAACCTACTCACTGACCCTGAGTCCTGGGCGGATAAGCACGAAGACGACAATTCTCAGACCTCACCCCTGTGTCTTATCAAGGGCACCACATGTCCAGCTGGGTCAGGAAATGACCAGCAGTTCCAGCTCAAAAGAGAAGAAAACCCACAGGGCATCTATTTTATCAGAGGGGACCGACAAAGGCCAGGCTCCGACACCACGGCTTCTAGCGGGGATCTCTCCGATGGAAAGGAAGCTGCCCCGGTCAGCGAGGCAGAAATAGCGAAGACTGGCTGAGAAGAGGCTGGGCTCTGTTCTTGCGTGCATGTGGGTCTCCGGGCTGGGAGGGACTTCGGTCCTGCACCCTCCCACCAGGGGTCGCCTGGCCTCCCACAGGCCACCACCCAGCCTCTGCTCACCCTGCTTTCCTCTTCGTGCCCTAATGTGCTAGCACCAAAGTCCCCACCGAAGCCAAGAAACAGAAACTGCAATCTTTCTCAGCCCTAGTCGATGAGTCTCTACACCTCACTGTCCTTGCCCTCTGACACTCGCTCTGTTTCACTCCCCCCAGTTTGGCCCCCTGCCTCCCCAGGAGCAGCCAGTCACTGCTTAGTACATTGTCCCTGGGGTGGAAGACCCCAGGCCTGCTTTCATGGCATCTTTGCATCACCTGCAAGTTGAATGGTCATGATTTCCTTGGACATATTTTTTGGCCAAGAACTACAGAGGACAGCCTGGACTCTAAGACGTAAAAGGTAGGGTAGAACCCTCTAGAAAGGGGATCTGTGGTCAAGATGTGGGGATTTCCTGCCTGGGAGCAGCTCTCCCGTGACTGGCAGGAAGCCAGGGCGATGCACAGGTGGAGAGGCCCGGTGAGAACCAGAGGAAGCAGTTACTTCAAGGAGCCTCAGGTCCAGGTGGGCAGGGCCTTACCTGTGCCAGACAGACACTTGGGTCAGGGGGAGGGTCACACCCCAGGGTGGTCCCTAAAGTGCACTGGCACATGGACAGCCCCTGACCCTTCTGCGGTTTCCTGTCATTAGTGGTGATTTTTCCCCAGGATCCCTAACTTAACTTTTAGGGAACAAAAGGTGAAATTCACTTAGCAACATCTCACTTCTGATGTGCAGAGAAACGGAATGTAACTGCATGATTTCGCGCATGGCGGCTTTGTCTCCTCAGCCGAGCGCGCCGCCCGTTCTCTGAGGCTAGCGCCGTGTGTGCCGCACACGGGGCAGCCGCGAGCCTACGCAGTCGGGGAGCTCGAGGGGAACCGGGACCCTTCTCGCCAACATGCCTTTCCTGAACCATCTAACCGCTGCTTTGGGGGCCTTGAGGTTTTCACAGGAAGCAGAGAAAGAGAATATACACCAAAGAACGATCCTGGAGACTGCGTGTGTTCAAAGTGTGAGATTGATTCCTTTTTATTGCCATCTTAACAAAAATACTTCTGAAGGCAATCTTTGATTCCAGCATAGGAGGGCAGGGCGATTCCAGGCAATAATCAAGCCTTCAGGCTATTGGACAGGGGAGTGTTCAGTTTGGGGGAGCAGGAACCCCCAAAGAACCACAGAAGGTGGAGATGGACTCCAGGGTGCAGGGACATCTCAGGTGCCCTCTGTGCTCCCCACGCTGGACAAGGCTGGGTCTGGGTTCACGAGCAGCACTCCAGGAACAGCCTCGGCAGGTGCTGGCACAGCGGTCCCCGGCTCCCACTAGGGCACTAGGGGCAGGACAGGAGGGTGGAGGGGTGGGCTGGGGGAGTTCTGCTGGCGTCAGCCTCAGGCCAGGGAGCAAAGAGGACACAGAGTTGAGCTGCACCCAGGTCAGAGCAAAGCTTGCATCTGCCACCTGCCATTCCCTCCCTGATGCTAAGAACCTGGCTCTCTCTGCACACTCCAAAATGAAACACAAAGCTAGAGATGTGTGTAGCTAGTGCGTACGCAGCCCAAGCGAGCAGAGGCAAGGCATGCTGGAACCTGGAATGGGATACAAGCCCTGCTGGGCTCTGAGTTCTTACAGAAGCCAGAGGAGGGGGTTGCCCTCCAGCTCCTGATCCTGGCCCTGCCTCTCCCCAGCCACTGGCTGTGAGCCCCAGGGCCAGGGTGGGATGTAGACTCACCTCCCAAGTGCTGTTACTGCCTCCCACTCCGCCCAGGAGAGCTGCGGCAGGGGCAGAAGCCAGGAAAGGGCGAGACCTTTCTTCCCACTATTCCAGATCTGGCCTTGGACAGGGAAGCTGGAAAAATCCACAGTTCTGGCTGCCAGTCCTGGCCCCCCACTAACTGGCTGTATCATTTGTCATCGGTAAAATGCAGATGATAATGGTAATGATCATAATCATATCCAACTTGGCTGCCTCCCTGATTGTCCTGAGAACCCAACAAGAACCCTCTGCAAGGGTAGGGAAAGGCGTAAAGTGCTCTCTACGAATGCAGGATTGTCTTTTCCTTCCTCTGACATCCTCCCATTCTCCCCACTCCACAAAAGGCAAGCGCAGCAGCTGAGCACAGGCACGAGGGCAAGCGGAGGGCCAAGGCACCACCCTCTTGGGCAAGGGAGGACAGGCCCCTTCTTGAAGGGCAGGCTCAACCTGCCCATCCTCAGGCCTGGCCCCTCCAAAGCAGCAGGACGGGGCTGGGGTAATGCCCGGTCTGGGAGGCGGATGCAGTAGCCCCTTCAGATGCTGCCCACGCTGCTCCCCCCTTCCCCGCAAGGCCTGCTGCCGCCATGGGACACAGACCAAGAGGACAGTGGTCCTCCAGGCCAAGCAAGCGTCAGGCAGGTAGCTTTTCTTGCACCTTGAGCATCCGCCAAAGATGAGGGAATGGGGCTGAACACGTGCTATTAGGGCACCAGGCAGCGATCTGCACTCGGTGAGGAGGTGGCAGTGCCCCCAATGTCCTGTAAGGGTCATCGGTCCTGGACACGACATACTAGCTGCTGTTGCAAGGCCAGACACCCCTCCTTTGTCGTTCTTCCTCCTAGAGCAGACTGGTCGGGTTAGAAGTGATGCTTTCTTTTCCGAGACCTGGTAGTCCGTGTGGGGGCTGGCGCTGGAGGCGCTGGTGGGGGCTCCGGCAGGGGGGCTTGTGCCTGGGTGGCCTGGGGGGTTGAGCCCGTGGGGGCTGCCCCGTCTGGCCCCCGCTGAGATGCCTGAACCCCATCCCGGATCTCTGTCAGCGTCTGGCACATCTGGCCGACACGGCTGGTCAGCTCGGCCACGGCCTGGCCGATGACGTGCATGCTGTTGGCCATGTCCTGGTGCACCGTCACCAGCTCCTGGCAGAACTGCCGGAACACCTCGGTCTGTTGGGCGTGGGCGTGGAGGAGCTGCCAGTCAAGGCCCGTGGTGGGCGGGCTGGGGTGTGGCCGAGGGGTCCTGCAGGCAGCCTGGGCCTGGGGCGAGGGCCGGGGCAGGGCCTCTGGCTTGGGGCCCACTGTCTCAGACTGGTCTGAGGAGGAGGATGAACGGAGCAGGGCGGGCCTGGCCAGCTGGGCCTCTTCCTCTGGAGACCGCTGCAGGGGCACTCGAAGAGGCTGCCTTGAGGGCCCAGGTGCCTCCTCATCTTCATCATCTTGGGGAACAGAAACAAATGACAAATGATTACAACAGGGAGAAAGGGGGCAGCCCTGGGCTTGGACCCACCCCTCAAGACACCCCTAATCCCTGAGGTGCACAGGCCAGGCGCCCCGGGGAAGAGTGAGCATGAGCAGTTCCCGATTCCCCTTCTTTCCTGGAAATGGCTACATTCTAGTGCGGAGGAGCCCGGGCCGGGGGACGTGAAGAGGAGACCCCAGTCCCAGTGACAGCATGTCAACCCAGCACCTCGTGACCTTAGGCACGTCACTGTACCTCTCTGCAACTCAGTTTCTGCAAAGTAAAGATAATGCCTGTCCTGTCTACCTACCTCACCACTTGGCCACCTAGCCGGGTAGCTAAAAAGAGTGATAAACAGGACAACAGGTACGAAGGCATCGGCAAAGCTGAAAGGGTGACACCTGCCGAAAGGTACTGAGATGCTCTCCGCCCTCTGAGCTCCAGCCTCCCTGAGCCCGTCTCTGAGTTGCTTGGGGCCACCTTGTGGCCCTGCTGGAATCTGCAACTTTAAATCTCCGCAGGGGGACGCTGACAGGCGGGAGAAACGGCAGGATTGGTGCAGGGCAGGGCAGCCCCCTCTGCAGCCTGCCCTGACGCCCCCCTCGACTCCCAAGGCAGGTAGCCAGGTCTGGCTCGTGCCCCCACCCACGAGCACCTGACCTTGCAGGGACCGTCAGACAGATTGCCGGATGAGACAGGGCCACCCCTGCCTACTCTGGTGAGCAGTGCTAGGGACCGATTCCCACGCAGAAATGAAAAAACTGGACCGACAGGCAAATCCTCACCTCCTGTGCCTGTGGGGCTAAGCTCAGGACCACACCCAGGAAGGTGACAGGGAAGATACCCAGGTTTACCCTACAGGTCGCCTTGTGCTTCCCCAGAGTCCCCGGGTGACACTTGGGCCAGCACAGTAGGAGCTAGTGCCTCTTGGCCCTCCGTGGGGGGGGCAGCAGCCAGGAGCTCCCAGAAACACAGCCTGGCACAGCCAGCGCTGCAAGGCGCGAGGCTCCCTCCCTGCCGGGGCCTCATTCCACCAAGCAGGGCTGGCGGAGCCTTCCACGTGGGGTGCTCCGCCTGACTGCCCCGCACGGCTCCCTGGCAGCCAGGTCTCTGGCAACCTTGCTGCCTTCAGTCTCAGGGAGATGCGGAGGTGAGCAGAGCGGGTTCGGGGAACAGGCTTTACTGGGTACTGGCCCCCCCTCTTTTTGCTCACAATTCAGTGGAAGCACCCCAAGACTTAGGAAAGCACCGATTCCCAGGACACTGTCAGACCCTGGTTCTGGATCGAGCTCGGGGCCACCTCTGTTTCTGGAGCTGACCTTCCTCGTCTGGGTAGCAAGGAAGTCAAACTAGATGGTCTCCTTTCCAGTCCTGAAAATCTGACTCTGTGCATTGCCACCTGTCAGGAACCCCAGCCAAACAGGAAATGAGCAGATCCCAACGGCAGGGGCCTGGGAAGGGAAGGCGTGAGTCTGTGCACCACCTTCCCTGGGCTGGGCTGTGGCTGCTTCCTTAGAGCCCCTCCTGCTCTGCTCCCACCTCTTGGGCCCCTCAGGCAGACGGCCTCTCTCAGAGGCCGAGGCTAGGGGCACAGAAGTGCCTCGGACTATCTGGTGAGCCCCAGCTAGAACTCCAGCCCCAAGGGACATCCGCCCCAGTTGCTGGGCCCGGCTTCCAAGTGCGTCTGAGATGGAAGGAGCAGAGGGGAGCCAGGGACACATATGGGAGGAGAAGGAAGGACAGACAGGAGGACTGAGAGCTTAGAGACAGCCTTAGGGTGGGCAGAGAGGAGTGGGGTGGGCAGCATGGCACAGGAGCGCAAGTGCAGGAAACAACAAAGCAGTTAGGACCAGACACAGAAAGGAACTGATCTTCCCACTGCTTGGGGCCCTGACAACTTGGCTGCCTCGTCCCAAGCCCCTTCCCCCTCGCTTGGGCTTCCCTGGCTTCCCGCTGTTCCTGGAACGTGCCAAGCGCCTTCCTGAAGCAGAGACTTGTACATGCTGTTCTCTGCCTGCGTGCTCTCCCCTCCCCTCCTCTGCGCCCCTCGCTGCTGCCTGGCCCGGTTAACTCTTACCCTGCACGTCCAGCCTCCTGCCACCTCCTTAGGGATCCTTCCCCAGCCCCCAGCACAGCCAGCGTCCACCACTCCTCACTCTCAGACAGAGCTGCCTCGTAACTTGCAGGGCCCAGGGCAAAAGGAAGACCCGGGGCCCCTGGTCCAAAGATTGTTAAGCATGTCCAGATGACACTAGCAGAGCCTTAAACCCAGCAGGGCCCCTGGGACTGCAGGGTCTTGTGCCTGTGAAGCCAGCCCTGCCTCTGGGACTTGCTAGACTCATTTGTCCTTCATCCCTTCATCATGAGTTTACTTGTGCGATTATTTAAAGTTGGCTTATTCCCGTGAGTCTAGGACCTCCCCGAGAGCACGGCTTGGGGACAGTTTGTACACAGCCGTCCTCCCAGCTGCTAGCACAGAGATGCTCAGGAGATATTCTAGAATGAATGCACAAAAAGGGGTGGAGAGGAGACAGAAGCAGGAGGGGGAGAACGGACAAAGTGGGCTGCTCGGAGAGGGACAGGAGGGCAAGGGACGAAGGTGCACGAGACTGAGTGCAGCAGGCTGGGCGCAGACAGCCCAGTGGGTGTTGGGGACAGATACTCACAGCTGGTCGAAGGGCTGTCGGTGCCGTCCAGTTCTGCCCTGGGGAAGCTGCGCCCCGCACGGGCCGAGAGCAGTGCTGACTCGATGGCCCTCTCGTGGGCTGTGAGCACGATGGCGGGGGCCCGGCCCCCGGCCCCAGGGCCCGACAGGGACTGCTGCATGAAGGCCAGCTTGTCCTTGGTCCTCCGTTTCATGTCATCCCATCTGTGCTTAATGTCCTTCACGGAGCGGGGCACCTGGCTGACGGAGGTGATTTTCCGAGCTATGCCTTCCCAAATCTTGTCCCTGTCAGCATGGGACAGCCGCATGGTCTCCCTCCCAAAGAGAACCGCTTCGTGGTGGGTCACCTCTGTGACCAGAATGTCCAGCTCCTCCTTGGAGAACTTGGGCTTCCTCTTACGCTCGGCCAGGGGTGCCACGTTCCTTGGGTTGAATATCCCACAAAGCACAATTGGGTAAATGACTGTCAACGTGGGTGGTCCTCCTCCTTCCTAATTGCCGGCCCCCAGCTGGGGAGCCCAGGAGGCACCTGGGGCCACCTGGCCCCACCACACCCTCTTCCTATTGAAGGTCCCTTCTCCTAGTCCTCCGGGGGAGGCTGGGAAGAGGAGACAGTGGCAGTGGGTGGGAGCGTGGGACTCAAGTCGGTTTCAGGGCCTGCTTTACCTCTTACTAGCGGTGAGAGCTAGGGCAGTTCAAGTTCATTTAACCTTTCCTGCCTCGGAATGGGAATAACAACCACACCAACCTCTCAGTTGTTACTAAGGAGCGAAGGGCATGATGCTGTACTAGAGCTTTAAAGCCCTGAAAGGTCGTGACAAAGGTCCTTATTGGAATCAGGATTAGCTCTTGGCCTCTACCCAGCGATATTTACACGGAGCCCCATGGCCCAAAGAATGGCTCCGAGGAGCCTTCACAGCGGGTTGCCTCGGGGTGTGGCACTGGTGGTGCCCCCGGTTACGGAGATGTGATCACAGCAAGCTCCCCCTGTCAGTGGCTTTCTCCCCTGCCCCGCCAGTCCCCCAAGTGCCCGCCCCTGTGTACGTGTAGGAAAACAGGTCCCCCATCCTACGGGGGTGCGTGTCCCTTTGGGGGTGGGCTGCCGAGGCACAGTGGCAACATCAGAGGCACCTGTGAGCTTCCAGAGGGAGGCAAGTTCCACTCCGATGGACACCAGGAGTGACCTCAGCTTCCACCTCCACAGAGTGGCCGGGGCACCGGGCAGGGGACACGGAACAGCCCTTCCCTCTGACCTGGCACCTGCCGTGGCTTTGGAACTCAATTTCCCCACATTGTGGCTCTGTTTACCCTTTAACTAGCTAAAAGGTTTCTAAAAATCCACCCCAGAGAAGACCTCAGGGTATAGAGGGAAACCCGGAGCCTGATCCACCCCCCTGACTGCTTCTGAACCACAGAGAGAGGTCAGTGGCGCCGAGACCCGTCAGCCCTCGCTGCCCCGCCCACCTGCCCAAACACCAAGGCCCAGAAGATGGGGAGAAGAAGGCTGGGCGTTTGGTACCCGGCCCAAGAGAGCGGCAGGGACACAGGCCTCACACTCAGACCTGGAACCAGAGGCTGAGTCACCCCAGGCAAGCCATGGAGGGGACCTGTGTAAACCCGGTTTCCTCTTCTATGAAACTACTATGATAATTCTAATGCTGCTGCCCAGGGCTTTGGGGTGATTTAACACAGGTTTCTCAATCTCACCACTACTGACATTTGGGGCTGGAAAAATTTGTTCAGGGAAGGGGGCATCCCGTGCAATGTAGGATGTTTATCAACATCCTTGGCGTCTACCCAACAGAAACCAGCGGCATCCACTCCCAGATGTGGCCACCAAAGATGTCCCAAGACACTGCCCAATGCCTCCCCAGGAGCACAAAGTAGCCCTGGCTGAGAAACAGCACCTGCAGAGCACCGTGCACAGGGCCATCCATCGGGTCAAAACTCAAAACGTGAGAGCTCATCCCCTTCCTGGCCCACCACTTACTTTGTAAAGAAACGAACTGACTCCAGCGGATCATCCCCAGCCCGGTGCTCTGCCGTGCGAGCCAGAGTGTCTGCGAATGAGGAGCTGCCCGGGAAGGGGAAGGGGAAGAGGGGTCTCCAGGCTGCACTGGCTCTCCCCTTGCTCCGACAGCTATGGGGGGCGGAGGGGGGCGTCTCCATGGCAGTGGGCCACACACCCAACCCCAACCTGCTCCGAGTCATCAAGACCAGGACAGGTTGGGAGCAGAATGGACAGATCCCATGCTAGCAAGGTGCTGGAAGCAGGACGACCCCCCCCCTCCCCCCGCACCCACAAGGCCCAGAAAGCCATGCTTTGCCTGGTCCCTTGCACACAAGCAGAAGGAACACTGGCCTGGGAGTCCAGAGTCAGAGGTTCAGATCCTTGTTCTTCCACTGACTGCGAGATCCTGAGCAACACCTTGCCCTGCCCTGGGCCTCAGTTTGACCAGTGTGGTACGAAGATGGGTACAGAGCATGGTTCTCAATGCCAGCAACTCATCGGAATCACTACATGAGCTTTAGAAGTACCAGTGCCCTGGGCCATCCCAGGGGATTAAGTCAGAATCTCCGGGGTGCCCAGTGATGGCTAAGTTGGTGCAGATGACCACTCCCCTTCTCTGGGGTTGTGGGACAGATCAGAGGCGGGTGGAGAATGGGCAGACTTGGCTCTCTGGGCCAAGGTCCTGGCACCTGGACAGCAGCAGCACTGAAGCCTGGTGCCAGCGCCGACTCGCGCACACACGCCTCTGCTCGCCTGGGCCGGGCCGCAGCCCCCGACGGCCTGCCTGGACTCCTTGACCCCACTTGCTCACAATGCCCCCGCACAGAAGCCTGCCCCCTTTGAAGGCCCTTGTCAAAGGCCCCCCAACTTTTATCTGGGCCCTCACAGCACACTGTCTGTGCCCCTTGCCGCAGCTGTGCTGGAGGTCACTCCTGTGGTGCTGAGTGTGAGTCCTGGTGGGGTGGGGTGGGGGTGGGGAGCGGGGCCGGGCATCCGCCCCGGGTGCCCAGCACGTGGCCGGACCCTCAGTAGCAGGGAGATAACTGCACGTGCCGAGCTGACCTGGGCCCGGTGGTGGGGAGTTAGGCATGTCAAGCCACCTTCCTGGCCGCTTTCAGGCCAACGTCTGAGCAGAATGTGTAAATGGGTATCGGGGGGAGTGGGGCCTGCCCCACACTGCACGGCCAGGCCCACTCCTCTCTGGCACCTCTATTCTGCACCTGTCACGTGGCAACGAGAGCAGCTGCCCCAGCCCACGAGGGGACGGACGCCACGGTGCTCTGCGAGGTGTGAACTGCCACTCGGCCGGTCAGGGGCTCAGAGGGGAGCCCGGGGGGACAGTGGGACCACTGGGAAGGGCACAGGAGACCCCCCCACTGACCCCCCGCCTCAAACCAATGTCCCCTTATCTGCTCAGAACGTCTCAGAGTGCAACACGCCACACTCCCTTCTCCAAGCACCTTCGCTCTCTCGCTGCCCCGACTCCGGCACCCACAGCCACGAAACTGCATGAACGCCACCAGGAGGCCCCAGGTCCCGCTGCAGCTGTGCCCTGGCTCCAGACAGGCCTCCTCCCTCCCACCCAGATCCAAACCGCAAGTCACCGCTCTTGGGCCCCAGGGAGAGGCCACTAAGTAGGGAACAAGGCATGGCTGGTCCCCCACCGTCCCCACCTCCCCCACATGCCACTGCGCAGGGCCCCAGACCGGCAGCGCCACGGTGGACCTGCGATTCCAGGCTCAGCTCAGCTGCCTCCGGGCGACCCTGGCCAGTCTCCTGCTCTCTCTGCTTGGCCTTTGGGGTCCTGCTGGTGCAAACTTCTGTCCCAAACACAGGAGCAGGTAAAACAACTCTTTAAATTTTTTTTTTTTTTTAATTTTTGCCCCATATGATGTGCAGGAAGGTAAAACCAGTCTCAAAAGCAATCAGGCCTGGGCAGCAGGCACTGTCAAAAACTGCGCTAATGGCTTTGCTCCTCCTCCATGAGGGCCATTTAAGCAACTGCTGAGGGCTTCACTGGGATGGTTCCCAAACCACCCCAGCAGGAACCTGCCCTGGGAGAAGGTGCCACAGTCCTAGGCAGGGGACACTCTTCTCCTCCTCCCAGGAACGCTGGGGCCTGAGTATGCCAGACACACTAGCAAGTGCACAGCCCGAGGGGTCCCTGTAACGCACCAGCCTGGCCACAGGTCCTCCTCCAGAGCTCCTGATGGAAGTCTGGGGGAGCAGGAGGGTCCTCCAGAACTAGACACATCCCCAACCCTGCAAACGGCAGCCCCACAGCCTTTAGTGTCCTCCACTACTGAAGACCCCATAGGCCGTACGTTCCCTTGGACTCCGTGTCAGAGGCAGGCAACACTCCCAGGAAACCAGCAGAGAGCAGGACTCACCTCATCCAGTTGGCTTTGGTCTCGTCTGACCCGTCTATGGACTTGTAGCGGTTGTTCTTGTCTACGATCTGGAAGAAACAGACAGTCTAGAATGGGCCATCCTAGAGGGGCTCTCACGTCCCTGGGCTCCTTCCAGACCCAGGGCCCAGGGCGTGGCCCCACCTGCTACCTTACCTCCCTTCCCTCTGCCCTGTCCCTGACATGTCCCGCTGCTACTGGACTGAAACCCAGTCTGGGGGCAGGAATCCCTGCTACCTACCCTCCACCCATTTCCATTCCACTAGACACACTGGAGGAGGTGCAAACCCCTTCACAGGTGTTTTGAATTCATGGGAGACGGGAGGCAGGTGGGCAGCACCATCTCCCTCCTCTGTCTTGATAGAATACTCAGCACCATGGCCAGCAAGCGGCATTTCCAACAGCCTCCACTGGAACATCAAAATCTAGATCCAGTCCTTCTCTCTCCATGGTCTCTGCTGGATGAGTGGGTGTACATGACTTGAGAGGGCTCCTCCTCTCCCCAACCTCTGAGTGTTCAAGAGCCTCAGGGTTTGGGGCTGGGCCACCTTCTCTTCAATAAAAATGTCTTTATTTCCATCATTGCTTTTGAATCAGAGTTCAGCTGCATATGAAATTCTAGGTTGCTTAAATTTTACTTTCTTACAGCACTTTGAAGATTGCTAAAGAGACTGCCATAGGCTCAAAAGCAACCCACTGTTAGCCTAATGTCCTTTTGTGGGTGATCTGTCTGCAGTCAATTTTAAGACTTTCCCTTTACTCTTGATTTTCTGCAGTTTTGCCATGTGGTTTTGAAGTAGAGATCTACTTTTTTGAAATTCTCCCTCATTACTTGATGAGCACTTTCCCACTGAAGACTTCTCTTTTTTAAAACTGGAAAATTCTCAGCCATTATGCTTTTGAGTACAGCTTCTTAGTCATGTTCTCCAGTCTCATCTGGTAGAATTTCTAATAAGCACATATGGAAATAGCTCAATCTATCCACCATGTCTTTTAACTACCCTTTCATATTTTTCCTTTTATCTTTCTAGGCAGTCTCTGGGAAAATTTCTCTGAATTCTCTTCCAATTCACTAATTATCTCTCTGACTGTGTCTAATCCACAGTTTCTCCCATCTCCTTTCTTTCTTTGCTTACTTTTTTAATGAGTTTCAGAGCGGCAGAGAAATCTCTTCCCAATGCAAATCAGATCACGTTACTCAGCAGCTCAAGACGGCATCAGCTGCACTTACAATAAAACTGTATCCGTGGTCTGGGCTTTTGAGGCCCACGTGACTGCTCCCGGCCTGCCTCCCAACTTACCTTGCACCTCTCTCCCCCTTTCCCTAGTCTGCAGCCACGATGCTCTGAGAGTGAGCCTGAACACCTGGTTGGTTCCACTGCCTAGAACCTCTTTTCCCTACTCTTAAAAAAATAATAATCCTAAGATAGTTCAAGCTATTCAGAAACCATAAAGAATAATGACAACTCTGTCCCCATCAGCTGCAGCCAGCAAAAATTAATATCAGTTTTATATGGCCCAGATCTCCCTCTCCTTTTGCTACGGGCAGTTGAAGACCCTCTCTGCCTCCTTCTGCTCATTCTCTCTCTCTTCCTCCCTCCAAGGGTAGCTGCCATCCTGGCGGGGAGCTTCCTATTTTCAGGATGCAAGGATTTTCCTAAGAACAACGTACAGAACTGTTCTGCACGTTTGTAAGGTTTACAGAAATGGCACCCAAGCGAACGTATCCCCTTTTCAACTCTTTCTCGCTAAGCTCTGAACGCCTGGTCCCTTCTTATCTTTGGGGTCTCAGGGGACATCAGCTCCCCAGAAGGAGCCTTTCCCCAACCGGAACCTCAAGTAAGTTCTTCCTTGCCGCAGGCCGACATCCACACCCCGGCCTCCGAAGCCGCATCTCCAGTGCATCGTCCTGTTACTTCCTTTTACAGCCCTCACTACAGTGAGTGGTTTTCTTGTTTTTGGAGTGTTGACAGCGTTTATCTATCTGTCACCTTGGTAACTGACAGCCTCCCTCTCTAGACTGTAAGCTAATGAGGCCAAAGCATACGCTGCCCCCTCCCGGCAGTGGAGTGGGTGCCTAACACAGCACATGGCACCTGGTAGAGTCCTGGGTGAAAAAACCAATGACTGGATGGATGAAAAGAACCTTTTAAGTAAAAAGCAAGTTAAAGAAGAAAAAAAAAATGACAATTTTTTTTTTTTTTTTAGAGATGGGTTCTCACCCTGTCACCCAGGCTGCAGTACACTGGTGCCATCATAGCTCACTGCAGCTTGATACAATGTTAATATTTTAAAGAGGAAATGAGTGCTATGCTGAAGACGGCTTGTGCTGACTGAGGCGCAACTGTTACATTTTCAGGATTTTGTGAACCAGGTGTTAAACATAACCATTATTAAAAGTTAAGTTATATAAACTTACAAGTCAATAGTTATTTAGTTTTTGAACAGGACACTCAAAACTTACCACTTCCCAATTAACTTACTACATTTTACTATTATCTATGCCGTTGAGGGTTCTGGCATCTAGTGTATCAGAACAGTAGAAATACCATATAACATTAAGAGTTGCTACTGCGTATTTCTTCCCAACCACAGGTTCAGTGGTTTCATGTCAGTAGCTTGGAATCAGCCACGGTGGGAGCATTTACACCAGGGCAATCGGCACATGCTCCTCCCCACGCCCCTCACCAGCAGAGCGTGAAACACACCAGCACAGCACCAGGCACATGTTTACATGAACCCAGAAAGAGTGGGAGATACATTTCAAACTCTCCCCTCTGGTTACCTCTAGAGGGGAGGACAGACAGAAGTGGGGGTGCTTTTGCTTTGTCTATTCATCAGACTATCCTGCTTTTGTGTTTTAAAGATCTCAAAAGATGATAAAATAAGAAAACACGCAGCTCGGGCTTCCTTTTCTCTTGCGGTCTCCCCAGATGCTGCTGCAGTCTGTAGCGACCCTCCCCTGGGGTCTCACAAAACACTGTACTTTATCATAACAGTAATCATGCCACACTGTCATTTTCTGATTGCTCCTCTCATGCCTGGGGGGAAAAGAAGCATCTCTAGTTCCCACAGCCTGTAGTGGAAGCATCTAGAGGGTCATAGGAGCCACAGAGCCGGAGGAATTGGCTAGAATCTCAGCTTCACCACTTATAGGCTGAATGGCCTTGGGCAGATGACTTCGCTGGCCAGGCTTCAGTTTCCTCATCTGTAAAATGGGGCAACAGCCAACCCTGCAGCACTGTCGCCACGACTGATGTGGAAGGCACTCGATGAGTGGTCACTATTAGCACTGCGATGGTAAGTGATTACTGATGAAGAAGTCAAACGTTGGTTACTACTAATTCTGGGTGGCGGGAGGCCCGTGGGTCGACACTGAGTTGTTATAATCAGCCTTTTGCAGCTTCAGCTGGGCAGAGGCCTGGGTGGGGCTGTGGGGGACCCAGGAGCTGCCTAGGACCTCTGCCTGCGGGTTCTGGGGTTTTTCTGAGGGGTGTTTATTTGTTTGTTTGTCCATTCACTCATTCATTCAAGCAACAAACATCACAGAGGGGGCAGCTACAGTGACAGGCTCTGGGTGTAAAATGCTGATGGCGGCAGGCAGAATCTTTGCTCTCAGAAGCTGACAGCCCAGTGGGGTACAGCGGCGAGGCCACTGTGACAATGCTTGGTCCCTGCTGTGGAGGGGACAGCGTGGGGTTACGGGAACTCTGAGCTGGAGCCCCGTGCCGGGGAGTGAGCCGCGGACCTTCTTGGGGGGTGTGGAGTCTAAGCTGAGATCTGGAAGAAGGGGAGGGTGATGGTGCGGGAGGGCCAGGCCAGAGATGAGCCCATGTCAGCCTGAGTGGGCAGTGGGCTGTGGGCCTCCAGGCCTGGGGCCGAGATGGGGCCGGGGCCGGCCAGCCAGGGCTGGATGTTTTCCCCAGGAGGCTGGTTTCCCAGGTCCCTCCCCTGCCTGATCCCTCAAGGTCAACTCCTCGGCAGCCCCTCTGAACTTGGTGCTAAGTTTGCACCAGCCCAGAAGCTCTGAGCACTGTGACGTGAGGACTTTGGTAACCTGGACCCGCTCAAGGAAGGACAACCAGCATAGGAAGGGGTCGTTGGCCTGGAAAAGGGGAGGCTGGAGACAGCAGAGCTGTCGTCAAATGTGGGAAGGCCCACCACACTGGGGGGCAGGACCAGGACCCGCACGCATTTAGAGGGACACAGACCTGAACTCGGCACAGGGAATAACTGTCCAACCGGCAGAATGGTCCTGACACAGGATGAGCAGCCCATGAGGTGGTGAGTTTCTTGTTACTGGAAGTATGTAAACAGTGGATGATCTGCTATCAGGGAGACTGAAAAAAAGGATTTCCCTCACCGAGTGGAAACCTGTCCTAGGTGACCTTCAGATTCTGTCTTTAACTAATAGTGTATGATTCTACATAGAGAGATGCTCAGAAAAATAATATAGAAGCATGAGTTTTGGCCTCCTGGGTCAAGCATGGTCCATGTGGACCAGAACCATATTTCTGACCATGGTAATAATTAATAAAGACAACAATAATGTCACCAACAGCTACGACTCATGCAGCACTACTGCGTGAATTCCCACAGTTTATGAAGTAGTTATCCTCATTTTATTTTACAGATTAGGAAACTGATGTTTAGGGCCGTTAGGATATCTGGCCAGGGCTACAAAGGAAATACACGGGGAAGCTGGAGCGTGAACTCAGGTCTCTGACGGTACAGGCCATGCTTTAGCTTGATAGATGCTACCCCCAAGATTCCCCTAAGGGAATCCTCCCCAAGCCCCGGGAGGCAGATGGTATAATAGCCCTCTGAAGACCAGAGAGATAAAGAGGCTGGCCTGAACTTGAACTCTGACCTCTGCTACACCCAGAATCATGGAGTGAAGAACACTGAAACTGGGCTGGCCACAGTGGCTCATGCCTGTAATCTCAGCACTTTGGGAGGCCCCATCAGAATGAAGCAGGACTCTCAAGAGCCCTCCCTGAAATTCCAGCCTCGCCTCTGGTTTAAGTGAATCTGCTATGTGCAACTTGGC